TGTTTAGACAGGCCATCGCTCAGTGCTTCAACAGGAAGCAAATTGTAGTTTTTACTTGTATTGATATTTAATTGCAGTCCTTGGCAATTGTTTTTCTCTGCACTTTCATTATGAAGCAACAAATCCATCGATGCTTAAGTCTTGCAGTTGGCATCTACTGTGCTTATGCTGGTTAGACATTCGTTCATTGGTGAAGCAATGTGGAAGCAAAAGCAAATGGCCAGCAGGGTAAGAAAGGGAACAAAAGAACAGATTACAAAAGGGCAGATTACAGGCAACCTTGGACACAGTGGGCCATTTTCAGAAAAAAAGAAAAAATAAAGTGAGATTCTTCATTTACAGTAAATAAATTGAGGAGGTCGAAAGTGCCAAACATACAGAAGAATGAGTTGTCTGTTTTCTCCCATTTGCAGTTTATTGCTCCCTTTCCCTTCATCTTTTTTTCTCTTTTATTTTCTGTTAATCATATACTGAGGAGAAGAAAAATGAGAGCAGCCAGGCTGGATTACTTTTGTTTGTTTTTGCAATATGCTAACTCAGTTTCAGTATCATGTCTCTGAAATCATGAAATCTAGTTTATGAAAGCTACCTGCCAAGAGCATGATGAGCACAGAGTCACACGGCACCTAGACTTGTGAACCAGACTTCTCACTACTGTAAGAGGGTCTGGTAGGTTTTGTTGCTCAACATGGCCAAGAACTACCTATTTTGACAGTTCCACTTAGCATGCAAACTGACCAACCACAAACTAGAGTGACCATATTAGCACATAATATACATCAGATGGCCCTTGTATGTCTGTGGGTGGAGCGTTTCAGTCTGAAATGACTGGGCAGCATGACCTCTATGACTGTAGAGTGTGCAGATTCCTCACTCTGTTCCAGCTCCATTTTAACAGCTCGTCATGCACATGTGCAGGACAGACCAAGGGTTTATGGAATGTGACCTGTGTTTAAGAGCAGTCAAAGGCTCTAAAGGCCATTCGGAGTTGGCCAAGATCAAACCTTTACAGTCTCCTAGAGAGCAATCATGCCTCTAATGAACGTTTTGGAATGCTCTGATCCTGCATGGCTGTCCCCTCTCAGAGACTAACACCCTTTACCGTTGCTGCCCACCACTTGGAGCGAGCGTGAACTCCATGCCCTGACAGTCATGGCTTGCCGTCACAATGTTTTTGATTGTGTGTGGCCATACATGGCCCGTCGGTCCACCGCTTGCCGATTTGCCAAAGGTCATGTCTCTGAGTCACAAACACCAGCCAGGCCAGTGACCCACTTCAGGCCTCTCCACTTGGCAGGTGGGCTGAAGGTGAGTGCTAGCCCAAATCTATCCTCATCCATCAGCAGCCTTGTCCCAACATGCAGGACACTGTGAGAGCCTCAGGGCAGCCAGCTGCGCTTTCGACTATCTTTGGTGGGGCGGGTACCGTTCACTTGTATCCAAATATGGATATGGACGCGAGCATATCTCTCTGCTGAATGGTAGATTGGTGATGGATGCCTGCTCATTGATAGGTTTAGGTGTTCGGCTCCTCAGGCTAATACTTCAGTAGAGATTGCCTTACTGAAAACAGCAAAACTGCTGCAGTATTTTAAAGAAAGAATAAAAATGAGTGTTTTATCAAAGCTCCTTTAATGCACAATGAGTCTGATGTCACGAAGAACCAAATTCAAAGATTAATTTAGAATTGGTAAGGATTATTCTGACAAATAATTTAAACTCAGTTTACCGTGGATGTGTTTTAGCAGCAAGAGCTGCTCCAAGAATCTTAAATGAAGGAGCGATTCAGTCCAGAGCACATTTCAGTGTCCCAGAACAGTTTACTCTGCACTAACTGTAAGCTGTATAAAAAATTAACCGATTTAAGCCATGTGTGACTCTACTGAATCTTGTATCGCACTGTGGGGGATTCATAATTTACAACATTTACATATTTTTTTTTTCTTCTGGTTATCCATCAGATATTGCCCACTACAGTATGTTATCAGTCATATTTGTGTCTTGCAGTTTATTATTGCCTCTATGCGGCAACAAGCTCAGACATTTTGTTTGGCACTGGTTTTGAGCTGTGTTGCTAAATTCCCTAAGTACTGCACTATATGCCGAGTATGAAGATTGAGGAAAGACATGAAAACACTCAGCTGGGAGTGATGAAGCAGATGTGGCTGTGCTTGTGTACCCTGAATGAGCATTTCTAAGGCACACTGCTGAATAACAGCCGACTTAAAAGGGCTTCCTTAATTGGACTAATGGCTTGCTCAATTGCTTGTGAACCTGTAAGCAGGGCATGGCTTATTGCTTGGGTCACCCAAATGACTGCTCTCATATCTAGACAGGGCAGAGACTGTTATCACCACCTGAATGTATGTGTGTGGTTATAGGTGTCAGTCATGCACATGTGGGTCATTGCTAATCTGTAGCCAAGCAGCTGCCCTGGTCATTTGTTAATGTATCGCTCCTGTTCCACAGACTGAGATGCCTTTTCTCACTGCATTTTTATGTTTTATTTCATAAGTTTGATGTGTTTTGAAATGGAGAACTAAGCTATAAGTAGTGTTTATACCTCTTCAGTCTCGTTTATTGCATTGCGTAGGGTGTGTTTCTGTGCCCTCTATCTGCCTGGATTATATAACCACACCCTCAGTGTCTATTAACCGATGATAAACACATCTCATGGAATGTATTTATGGAATGCGGTTATCTCTTTCACGTGGAATCAGAAACAGGTCATGCTTTGTAGGTGAGGAGATTCAAGAGGGTGCTGATATTTTTTGCCGTCTTGTTGGTGTGAGGTTCTTACAGTGGCCAGATTTAGCAGGATGGTATTGATCAAATTCAGTAGTATATTTTTCAAATATGTCATGTTATCATGATACCAGATAATATTTAAGTTTGCTTTAGTCCAGTTAATGAATCCATGGTTCCAGAGTACTGGACTGCTATGCTAAAGGAATGTCTTACAAGCCTCACATAGCTTGTAAGACTGCTTCTTTGCTCTCTTACAATTACACCAAAGCGAACCTTACATTATTTATTAAGGAAATCTGAATTGTGTTATTCAAAATAATCTGAAGCATTCACCGAATGACACAATGCAGTTGACCAAAAGGTTCTGCATAACAAGTGTACAGTGCACAAAATATACAAACACAATTTCAGTTTAGAATTCCAAAGAAGTTGGCATGTGAAATGATAACAGAAAGTAGTGATTTAGTAAATTGTTTGACTGTATTAAATTGAAAACGGTACAGAAAAACACATTTGCATTTTTCCTACTGTTCCAATTTTTTTGAAATTCCAAAACAATTGGAATTGCTGTTTGTTTTTAAAAATAAAAACCCTGAAAACTGTTTGATTGATCAGGGCATATCTATTGTATGGACTGTAATATTATGTGACATCAATAGAGATACACTGCTAATGAAAATATGTAGAAACTACAGCCATTGATTTCATTGATGCAGTGATTACCAGCTGATTTGCAAGTCCTCTTTAAGAAAGCACCAGACTGACCCGCCCTTGCTACATTACCACTTGGAAGTTCCTGTCCTTCATTCTTTAGGGAGTGGGTGGGGATAGTATAACTGCAGTTGCAGGCTTTTCTGTCATACTTCTGCAGGTGAGGCTGCAAAGCTCACTTTGTGTTTGCTCAGTGGCAAGTGCTCATTGATTGCTGGCTAATCAAACAGCAACCAGAAGCCTGCTAAAAGGCCTTGTCAGGAGGCAGATATGAATAAACCATGAATCCCTTGGTCTTATCACCAATCCAGTATTGACCTGCAGGCTGCCAGTGAAGCACTAAGCATTCGTTACAGGGCTTGTGCACTCTTTACGGCATATTTGATGCATGTTTTTCATTCATGTTTTCTAAATATCAAAATATGAGCGGTTACTTTTGATATTGATTTTCTTTTGTGCAATTCTGGCATGCTTGCCGTATACGCCATGTTAAATATGAAGTACAGGAATTCCATTTCCCCCAGACAGTGGGTTTGATGCCTGAAACTCCAATCCTCCTTCCTTAGCTTGTACTTGCTTTATAGCTTGTTTGAGAATCACTTGTAGTGCATTACCTGGTCATGCCTTCCAGGTGCCTTCTTTTTGATATGGGAGAAGAATCTCCATGGAGCCATTTACAGTGTCTCACCTTGGCATATTTCCAAAGTAAAGCTTTGAGCACTCCCAGTCTCCAAAGACAGCTCCCTGTTCACACTCCCTCTATGACTAACTAGATTCAGTCAGAATCAAGTACCTTCTCAGCCCTGATTGAAAAGAAGCTTTCATTATCAGTAGTGGTTTTAATGTGTGTTTGCCAAACAAATAGCTGAATAACCATGAGCAGGGTGTGGATTCTTGATACTGTATGCCTGTGTTCAGTGATTACAGCCTTGTCTGTGTTGTTACACTTCTCACTGAGCTTGACAGGCTAACATGGTGCGGCGTTTCAAACACAGTATAAGTGTTTGTGTCTCTTGTGTACTCCCCTCATCTTTGTGCAGAGGGTTCTGTTCTGTTCTCTAACCCTGGCTCACACTGGTGTTGGCTCCAGTTCCTTGAGTGTAAATGTATTTCCTCTTATAATACGTCACCTATACACTCACAATGAAAGTTTTGGCTCTCAGTTTATGAATATAATTTTGAGGCATCACATCACTTAATTTACAGCGTCACTTGAGTTGTTTTGTTTTCTATGAGGACTCATCGAAAATATATTCTTAGTTTAGATGGTCAAAAGCATACAGCTCTGCCAGTTGAAAGCCATTTGGATTCCCTAGTTGCCTAATTAACAACTCTAGCACTCAAGTACTTATCAAAGCTTTCTCATCTATGCGTGTTGTGTTTGTGTATGCGCACATTGCATACCATGAGAACAGGAACGCCATGTCTTGAAGGAATGTTTGTGTCGCACATACACCTATCTGAAAAACCATTGTATTTTTGTTTTATGATACTCTTTGTAGTTTTCTAAGTGCTAACAGTATTCTTCTTTTCTCTTCCAGGCTAAGATCCAGGCTAGACAACCCTAAGACCTTGTTCTCTGCCATGGAACCCTTGAGGAGTGGAAATGGGCCAGTGTAGTTCTGCCTCTTGCACACCAGTTTAGATCTACATTGAAGTATCTCCCCTTCCTCCCATATCCTCTTCTATGCTCCAGCCTTTTACCCTTGTTCACCTACATTGACTCTGCGATTCGCAGCTTTACTGACATGGACAAATGACTCTGTATTTAAAATTTGGCCACTAAAGGCACTGAACCCCTACACAATTAGGCAACTTAGGACAACCTTTTTGTCAGGCCTGAATGCACTTGGATGGGATATCAGCCCAGCAGCTTTCCAATTAGAGCTTCTGGGAATGGCAAGATGAGCGCCTTCAAACGATGATGATGGCAAAAAAACAAGATGCCCGGGCGCCAATCTACAACCTGGTTGTGGTAGGTTTGTCCGGGACTGAGAAGGAGAAAGGGCAGTGTGGAGTTGGAAAGTCCTGCCTTTGCAATCGATTTGTCCGTCCCAGCGCTGATGATTTTTATTTGGACCACACCTCTGTTCTGAGTACCAGTGACTTTGGTGGTCGAGTGGTGAACAATGACCACTTTCTGTTCTGGGGTGAAGCAGCACGAGCATTGGAGGAGGCACCGGAGTGCCGAATGCATGTGGTGGAGCAGACAGAGTTCATTGATGACCAAACCTTCCAGCCACATCGAAGCACTGCACTGCAGCCCTACATCAAGAGGGCAGCTTCCACCAAACTGGCCTCTGCTGAGAAGCTCATGTACTTCTGCACCGATCAGCTGGGTCTTGAACAGGACTTTGAGCAGAAGCAAATGCCTGAAGGAAAGCTTCTGGTAGATGGGTTCCTTCTCTGTGTGGATGTAAGCAGGGGTATGAACCGTAACTTTGATGACCAGATGAAGTTTGTTTCAAACTTATACAACCAGTTAGCTAAGACTAAAAAACCAGTTGTACTGGTCTTGACCAAGTGTGATGAGGGAGTTGAGCGATATATTAAGGACTCTCATACTTTTGCCCTGGCCAAGAAAAATTTGCAGGTAGTAGAAACCTCAGCACGCTCTAATGTCAATGTTGACCTTGCCTTCCTGACCCTGGTGCAGTTAATAGACAAGAGTCGAGGGAAGCCCAAGATCATCCCTTATTTTGAGGCTCTCAAGCAGCAGAGTCAGCAGATAGCATCTGCAAAGGACCGCTATGAGTGGCTGGTCAGTTGCATTGTGAAGAACCACAATGAAACATGGCCCAATATCAACCGCAGAATGCAGACCTCCCCCGAATACAAAGATTATGTCTTCCTCGAGGGTACTTCCAAAGCCAAGAAGCTGTTTCAGCAACATGTGCACAGGCTCAAGCAGGAACACATAGAAAAACGGCGCAAGATTTATCTCAGCACGCTTCCACAGGCTCTGTGTACTTTGGTACCAGATTTAGATGAGATTGACCACTTGAGCTGGTCAGGTGTACAGAAGGTTCTGGAGACAAAGCGGGAGTTCTCACACTGGTTTGTTGTATTAGATGACACACCATGGGAAACTACTCCACATATCGATAACATGGAGGATGAGCGGATCCCCCAGGATCTTTTGGAAACCCCAGCAGCTGAAGTAATCTATGAGAACCATTTAGAGCACCTGCGTAATGAGCGCAAACGGGCAGAGATGCGTTGGGAATTCAAAGAGAAACTGGTTGCGTCACCATTTGTCACCCCTGGCAAACCCTGGGAGGAGGCCCGCAGCTTTATCATGAATGAAGAGTTTTACCAGTGGCTGGAGGAACCAGAATATCTTGATATCTACAACAAGCATCAAAAGGAGATTATTGACCAAGCCAAAGAGGATTTCCAGGAACTCTTGCTGGAGTACTCTGAGCTATTCTATGAGCTTGAAGTGGATGCTAAGCCCAGTAAAGAAAAAATGGGTGCTATCCAAGAGGTTCTTGGAGAGGAACAGAGGTTTAAAGCCCTACAAAAGCTTCAAGCAGAGAGGGATGCCCTGGTGCTCAAGCATATCCATTTTGTGTACCACCCAACTAAGGAAACCTGCCCTAACAGTCCTCATTGTGTGGATAGTAGGATTGAACAGATCCTTGCTACTCGGTTTCCTACTAGGTATGCATTTGATGGCACCTTAAGGTCTCAATATGGTGAGGGAAAGGTAGATAGGATTAATCTTGTAATCCTTGGCAAAGATGGACTTGCAAGGGAGTTGGCCAATGAGATCAGAGCATTATGCACCAGTGATGACCGGTACATGCTAGATGGAAGGATGTATGAGCTGGCTCTGCGGCCTATAGAAGGCAATGTACGTCTACCAGTTAACTCCTTTCACACGCCCACTTTTACCCCTCATGGTTGCCTCTGCCTCTACAACTCCAAGGAATCATTGTCTTATGTTGTTGAAAGTATTGAAAAACTTCGAGAATCAACTATTGGTCGAAGGGATAACAGCTTAGCTCAGCTCCCTCTGTCTCTCCTGCTGGTTACCAAGCGAGGAGTTGGGTCAGTCGGGGATATAGGAGGGGAAACTGCCCAAAGTTTAATAATACAGGGGCAGCAGGTGGCTGGCAGACTGCAGTGCAGTTACTTGGATCCTGCCTCCCCAGGTGTGGGATATGCACGTAATGTAAATGAAAAGCAGATCAACCAAGTTTTGAAAAGCCTTTTGGATGTACAGAGACCCTCTGGTAGTCTTGGAAGTAGCTCCCCTCCTTTGCAGGCTCCACCGGCACGTTTCAGAGACTCTCACCCTCAGCAGACCTCAGAGGCAGATTTGCATATAGTAATGTGCCTCATGTGTGGAGACATGTATGATGTAGACCAACTTTTATCACCCTTCTTGCTTCCCCAGCACTGTAGGCCTTCCACCAGTCTATCCAGTGGCACATCAGTGTTGTTGGAGCTTACTATTGGTAGCCAAAGGCAAAGTATTGACCTTGCTGTACTCTCTTACCACTCATCTTTCTCCTTACGCAAGAGCCGGTTAGTGCATGGATACATTGCAGTATATTCAGCAAAGAGGAAGGCCTCTATGGAAACACTTTGCGCCTTCCTTTGTGAGGTGCAGGACATTATTCCTGTGCAGCTGCTAGCAGTTGGGGAGAGTCAGGCAGAGTTGACGGAACTTGAGGTGGCTCGGGAGCAACTGAGCCAAGGGGAAGAATTGGCCCATGAAATTGAGGGGCATTTCAACTCCATTGTCTGTGGATCTGGTGGGGTGGTAGGTGGCTTGCATAGGATAGACCTCTTCCAGCCTTTCTTAAAAGAGGTAGTTGAAAAAAAGACAATTGTGGAGGCTACACATACATATGAGGTGGCTGAGGCCAGCAGTACCAATGAGAATGTCCATTCACCTCGATGTGGGTCACCCAGCACCACCCTGTTGGACTCAGAAGATGATGTTGAGCCCTCACCACCATATCCCACTCTGAGGGATGATAGCACCCTGACACATGGAGGGAGCTTCAAGCTTCCTGACCTGGAAGGTAGTGATACCTTCAGTGTTATCTCTGAAATCAGCACCTTTGAAAGCAAGCTCAATAATAAAGTTCCACCTCAAGTGCGGCCCAAGCCTACGGTTACCTTTGACTTTCGTAAAGTTAGTCTCAGCTCGTATATGGACCCTGGGGGTAACAGACGCTCACTACCTTCAGTCACATGGGCACCAGGCAGTGATGGTGGTTATGATCCATCTGACTATGCTGAGCCAATGGATGCTGTAGCTAAGCCTCGTCCCACAGAAGAGGAAAACATTTACTCTGTACCACATGATAGTACACAGGGCAAGATCATCACCATCCGCAATGCAAATAAGAGTCATTCAAATGGTGGAGGCAATGGCTCAGACAGTGAAGCAGACAGCAGTTCATTAGAGCGCAGGCGCAAGTTGTCTGCTCTTGGTGTGAAACCACGACTATATCGTGATCGCTCGAAACGATTGGGCAAGTTCAGTAGCTTCCGCACAAGCTTCATTGGCAGTGATGATGAACTTGGAGGTCCACCCAAGACCAAAGAGGATGAAATAGGGGTGCAGAAAGGGGATAATTCCCTGAATGAAGAGGGTGAGGACTCTAAGAGGAAAAATATCTTGAGGAGCCTACGCAGAACTACAAAGGTAAGTTTCAACGAGCCTATATATTTATCACAATTTATAAATTAAGCAACAAAATGTAATGGTTAGAGTCCTGGAAAGAAATTACATATCTGATTTGCTGCCCTTGGCTTGTAGTGTTCTTGTTAGTTCTCCATGTGTAATTGAAGTGATGCATCCAAGTTTCTTTTTTATATCTGCATTGTAAGAATAACCTTATGGAAAAAAAATGAAGTACTCTGACATTAACATTTTTATATGATTTTGACGCTACTGTGCAGTTCAGTGTTTAAAACTAGGAAATAAGTCTAGGCCTTTACTGCTTGGTTTAAGTATTTTGATGCCATATGGCAACAGCATGCGACAATGGAATACAGTGGTAGTGAGTACACTGCTATTGGACACTGCCATTTTTATAACTTCTCTACATTTCATGTAACATTATACCGTATTAGAACTGTTGTGCATATATGCCAATTATTTTTAATTTCATGTATATTACATATATTATGATTGGATGATGAATCTGTCTGTGTTGCAGTTCCCTTGTTGCATGAAGTTGTCATATGGCAACAAAGTGCCACCTTCCCATTCATTTTCGATAAGAAAACCTTTTTTTATTTCATAATTCATGTGCTAAATGGCTACACATATAGTTAAGGTGCTGTCATTTTTTTGTCATGCCCAGTACTTTTTATTTAGAAAAGAAAAGAAAAAACTCTGTCCATTTTTTTTAGGTTGAGTTGTTCTTAATTTGAACTATTCAGTTATTTCTTATTTTTAATTGTTTGGTCATGTGTTGGTACTCCTCTACATCATTTGTTTAAAAAAACATCCTGAATGTTATTTTGAATATTAGGCATAAAGAAAAGAAAAAAATATTAGGTTAATGCTAGTCAAATAATGACAATTTTCCTTAAAGTTAGCTGGCTGGCTAGCTTTGTTTGTGCATAAACATGTTCAGCTAGCTGTGATAAGCAGGTTACCTTGCAAGACAGATAGGAAGGTAGAGTGTAGGCACAGCGATCAAGGCTAAACTAGACTTGCATAGTGTTGTTCTCCAGTTTTTCAGGCTGCCAGTACATAAATATGTTATCTGTCTGATGTAAAAAGTCAGTAGTTGTTTATAAGCACATCCAACTCCTCAGGTTATGCTATTGATCTTTGTTTTGTCAATGCTGTACTGAAGGAATATTCCCATCCAGTTTATTCACAAGTTCCTTACTGCTCTATTTTTAAGGAGTTTTGTAACTAAGGGCAAGATTACGTTTGTCATTGTTTTAGAGCTCTCTTGAAGCTTTTTAGATTTATCAACCAAGAAGTTTATGCAAGTTAAGGCCTTGATTACAGTACAAATGGTCTGTTTTAATGCACCAGAATCAGTGTTTTTTTGCACTTTGCTATACTACATAAACCATTTTTAATTTTACATATTGACATGTTTAAATATTTGACAGACCTTATGTTTTGCCTCTCAGTCGCTCTCTCACTTTCTCTCTCTTTCACTCTCACACACTCACCTCACTGCTGCTTTGGTTTATCCCAGATTAAGGCAAAGCTTTGACCCGTGCTCTAATCGCAAATTACAAACCTGCTGCTGTAGCCTGATAGGTTGTTTTTTTAAACTCGCTTTTCAAAAGAGAGATAGGGGAAAAAAAATAGGAGAACCAACTGCCATTTTAAATACCTTCGAGGTGGGACCCACTTTAATCCAGGAACCGGTCTGGCTGCCTCAGTGCCCGTGTCCAGCCCAGTCAAGCCTTGCTCTAGGCTTGGCTTGGGTTTTGTTAGTTGTGTACATTACATTGCAGGCCATGGTTTTGCATTGTGTTTAGAAGTCTTCCTAGGTGTTGGATGGAAGGAAAACAGGCCTTATTACTAACTAGGCTACCTGCTCTAGCTGATGTTGGTTAGGTCCAGAAACTATACTTCTCTGACAAATAATATGTTGACACATTGCCCACTACGGCGAGAATACCTGTGGAGAAGACAAGCCCTCAGACACATAATATGCAAAAACCGATGTCACTGTTTTTGTGCAACACCAGTGCTGTCACCTAAAAAGGTGCCTAAATTGTTTTGGGCCAAATTCCTTTTAATACCTTAATAAAGAGTTAACTCAGCGTAACAGCCAGTTAATTTAGTCATCTGCCGCTCATTTTGTAGTAGCAGAGTATTGAAATATTAATATACAGCTAATGTACCTTAATGTAGACAGTGATACACCAGTTTTTCAGGATTATGCAAATGTGTAAATTATATTGTTACAGAAGTTTTATAAGACTACAATTATAAGACAGTTTCAATTTTAGAATGACCATCACATAGTGGCTGTTTACACCTTCCTTCAGCATGTCTTTTTGGTAATTAGACCACGTCCAGATTTTACTTACCTGCTTAAAAAGCCAGATGTAAATTCACCTAGAATGCATTTTGATCGTATCACATTTGGAGGTGGCCAGAAATGGCTCCTCCTTCAACAAACGTGTAAATGCAGTGTGTTTTCTTTATCCACATACAAAAACAAAAAAACTTTTCTCTTGTTTCTGAAAATGTTAGTGGCACTGACCATAGCGGAAATCACAGCAGCTCCAAGACAAAGCCTTGCAGCTGTTTCAGTGCCTGTTTTGAGTGGTTTCTTCTATAACCTTACAGCATATAATACACTGGTAGTAACAGGTGAGAGGTGATATTATTTACTGTAGTTTACCAGGCTTTAAACAAACACCGAATGTGTTGTGCTTATGAAAGAAAGTTATGTCAGATCTCACTTTATTGAAAACTGTAAATATATCTTTAAATATCAGCATACAATCCAGGCATGAAACACATGTTAACACAAGGTGTAAACAAGCTCTAAGAAACAGTATTGACTGTGCATCTAACTGATATCCAATCCCTTTAAAGGTCAGCATTGGCACCAATATTGAATTGAGTCTTGGTGAGACGCTTGTCATTGTATGTTCTGTTTTTTATAACAGAGGTGGCTGTAGCTGCTGCCTCTGTAGAGCAGGCGACCACCTGAGGGCCAACACTGGTAACATGTCCAGCCCTCCTCATGTCTTTATTACTTCACGGGAGTTAAAATGGAGCCATTGAGTTAAATCACCTCAGCCACATCAGTTGCCTATCGAGGCCCATCCATAAAGAAGCCCAGGAGCCCTGGGGGACTGTACTGGTTTAAGCTATTCAGCAGGGTCCATCCCTTTCAGCTGCACAAGAGTCAGAGCAAGAACTCCTCTTCTCTTCTCTTCTCTTCTCTTCTCTTCTCTTCTCTTCTCTTCTCTTCTCTTCTTCGTTTTTCTTCTCTTCTCCCTGTCTTCTCTTCTTCCTCTCCTCTCTTCTCCTCTCCACTGTTCTCTGTTCACTGTTTTTTTTCTCCTCTCTTCTTCCTGTCTTCTCTTCCTTTCACCTCTTCTCTTTGCTTTTCCCTCACGCTTTCTCTTATTTCTCTTTTCCTCTACTTTCTTGTTCTCCATTCTTCTTTCTCTCTTATCTTTCCCTTTGTCTCTTCTCCTCTCTTCTTTCTTTCTCTAGCTTTCTCTTCATTTCATCTCCTCTCTTCTCTGTCTGTTCTTTCTTTTTTTCCTTTTTCTCTCTCTCTTGCTCTTGCTGTGTTACTCTTGCTTTCTCTTCTCTTTGTCTTTTCTTCTCCTTTCTTATTTTTCCTCTCTCTCTCTCTCTCTCTCTCGAAATGTTCTCTTTGCTCCTGCACCCTCTTAAAAACTCGTCAGCCCAACTAGGCGAATGTTTCAAATTCCATCTCGTTCCAGTCTAATGCCCTGTAGAGAGTGTGTAAGAGGGAGGTGAAGGGTACCTAGGTGAAGTTGTTTCATAATTAGTGCATTGAATGTATTGATAGCAAGTGGGGCTATTTTAGAATCTGATTCGTCTTCCTTCCTGCTGGAACTTGCCAGATTTGTGTGTCAACAGGCGTGTGGCAGAGGCCAGTGTGGGAGATGCTGATGTAGTCACATCCACTGTTCACAGTTGACCTCCACTGTTCTGTAAACACATTATTTTTATATAAAGTTGTCATGCCAATAATGCTCCCAGTGAACTGTAATTAGAGCAGTGATTCTGTAACGAGTGCTGGGGGCTGCCTGTAATTATGTTACTGATCTCTCGAAAGGAGACACTAGGAGGTGGGTAGACTTTATAGGCCACTGGAGAAACAGCAGGACAGACAGACATTTGGATATAATTAGAGCTTATGGAACTGCATGAAAATATTGGATAAATAATCCCAGTTTGATGTAAAGATTAGTCGTCTTCAGTTCATGACACAGTGTGTAGGTTCTGTTACTGTCTGTGCAGCTGTAGGAGAGAGATGCAGAGCAGCCTATAAATGCAGCTTCTTGCCTAAAAAGCAATCTCTCTCTCTCTTTCTTTCTCTCTTTCACTCTGTGTGATGGTGCTGCAGACACGCCGGCTGGCCAGCCAACTGTGACGCTCCACTGCAGAGAGTTGTAGTCATGGAGAGGGAGAGCAGTACATATTTCTGCACAAATTTCAGTCTAGAAATATTGATGCTAAATATTGTTTGTGTGTTCCCATTATTTAATGCTTTGGTCGCTTAAAACTGCTGAAGTGCATGCACAAAAAATGCTGCCAAAATAATGTGTTAGGATGCATATATGAGTTCACTTATAAATCTAATAAATCAATATTAAACGAGTCTATCTGCCATTGATAAATTGGCTTTACTCGAGATTGAATGGCTGTCAACAAAATACCTTGCAGGTACTGATGATTTTGCTCTCTTTAATGATTATATCTAAATGGGTTCATTTAGCTGGCTCGCAGCAGTCTTGCTAAGGTTGGCTAAAACGTGCTACTGTTTACATACTATCAAAATTACTTGATAATTTGTTTGTTTTGTAGAGTGTCAGCATTTGTGTGTAAAATGCCCTTTCAGTCACTGAAAAGTTGCCTCTTAATAAATATTATACACTGTCTCATGTGCATAATTTAATTTTCTCTTACTTTAAACTGTACTTCAACATTAGTAACTCTGAGTGAACATTAATAACTCTTGGTAAAGAACTCTTACAAGAATTGATTAATTGAATTATTGCTAGGTAGAGCATCACTCTGAACTGGGAGCTCACCCAGTGTGACTCTCGTGAACGCCCAGCAACAGAAATATAACATGTTATTTCTGTAAGTTCACAGATGCAGCAAAATGAATAAAATGTGAACATTTTAGCGCAGCAGCCCAGCGTCACCTGAACGTTCTGCTGCTCTGGAGTACAATTAAAACACCATCAAATATTCTGTTGAAATAACAAGAAAATCCATTTTTAAGCAGTTGTCAGCTGATACTGATATGATTCTGATATTATCAGTGTGTACAGATAGCCAGTAACCAGTCTAGAATTTGGAAAACGGGATCACTAACACTGAAGAGGTATTGGAATTGGGTTTGGATTGACACAAAGTTGTAGTCTGTGCCTGTAGAAACTGTGTCGAGCTGTTCTCCATTTTTTTTCTATATCATTTCATGATGAATGGAACAATGTAAATGCTCAAAAATCACTTGGAATAAAATAGCTTTACAATAATTTACATTGGAAGCAAAGAACATTTTTGTAGTGTGACTAGTGCAAAGCAAACGAGAGGGCAAGAAAGAGGCTGACATTTGTTATAAAGCAACTCAAATTAATTGAAGTGACTAGTTTATTTTTTTAATTTTAAAATAATTTTTCTTTTCCTCAGTGTTATGTTGTGAATTCATCTGTGTCTCTATGCTCAACAGGCAAAGTGCTATTAGCTATTTCTGTAAGTAACTTCTGTTTTTGTCTTTTTTCCCCTTATGCTTTGCAGAAAACAAGGCCAAAGCCTCGCCAATCCATTTCCAAACCCCTGGAGAGTAACTACTTTGGTGTTCCATTGGCCAATGTGGTCACCCCCGAGCGTCCCATTCCACTCTTCATCGAGAAATGTATCCGCTACATTGAGGCGACTGGTGAGTCACCTTTATCCCCATGTAGCAACCACAAACAACAAGCCACATCACATCACTCAGACTGACTGCTTAAATACTAAACTGCGACTATGGAGCTTGTGAGAAGGGGCAAGGTTGTTAGTTTTTGTCAGCTTGTAGCTTGCCCATGCATGTTATCTGGATTTACTGTCATAGTTGAAAGTATGATGGATAACTTTGAACAGTCTGAAAATGCTGACTTTACAGGGTGAAACTTTTATGCGATTAGTTGCAGGACAAAAGCTGAGTGAAACGTGATTTCCATGCAACTTGTCAGTTACATGACACAGTTGAAAACTAATCAAGTTGCATGCAACACATAGTAATTCCACTAGTGAGTAAGATTAGCTGCTAGTATTTTTATATATCCTTTCATTCTAGCAATATAAAATCATCTGCAGTGTTTATAGCCTGCATTTGCATCTTTTGTATCATTTTTATGTTAATAATAATGTTTTTATGTTAACTACTATCTTAGTTTGGCAGGCTAACAAAGCAAATTAGCACTGACACAAGCAGCCGTTCAAATAGCTATATATGTAGCTATTGTAAACTCAGGCTGGGTAGCTAACAAGCTAATTAAGCAAACTGCTTTAAACAGCATTGTTGCTATAGACCATCTTTATGGTTTTTAATTTGTTTTATGCGTTGATTGTAATCAGTAAGTTAAAATGATGTTTAATGTTACAGCCATTTTCATTGGTTGTTTCATGAAATTTGTTTTACAATGTGGAGATGGTTGCTACTTCTTTAGCTGAATTTGTGGCTTTTACATTAGGGGTATTGAGTTCCAGTCCTTGAGGACCGGAGTTCAGCACAGTTTGATGATTTTCCTATACAAACACTTCTGATTCAACAAATCTGTGAACAGGTTTAGTAGATGTGTTTAAGGAGGGAAATCACCAGACTGGGCTGGACTCCTGCTCCCCAGGACTAGAATTGTTTTACGTTGTGCAGCAAGGAATTTAGTTTGATGCAAGTTCCAAGCAACTAAAGATGGCTTCTCAAAGTCTTGTTTAATAGGACATAAAATGTCCAAACTGGTCTTAGATCAGCTCTCTGCCTGGGGAGGAGCAGATGGTGCAGGCCTGCTGAACTGAACCCTGTTCAGATGGTCAGACCGAGATGAGGACACTGTGCCTGTCCCCTGTGTAGGACCACTGCTCATGGGTCATGATCTGCCTTCATGACCACAGACACTGTTGAGGACAGTGAGGATGCACAGACAGATTAGTATGCAGCTTTAGAGAGCCCTCGCATGTCATTTCATTCCTCATTTTCTCTCCATCTCTTGCTCTCACCTTTCTTCTTCACCTCTCCATACTTAAAAAAGTTTTTTATTTGAAGTACTTTTCAGTTTTTTTTCTGTTCTTTGTTTCTTTTTCTTACCTTCATTTCTTTTTTTTTCTTTCTTTCATAGTCACAGTGTCACTTCTTTATTCTTCCTTTTCCTTTCTATCTGTTTTTTCCTTCCTTTCTTTCTTTCTTTCTTTCTTTCACTTTGCTTATTTCCTTATACCTTCCTCTCTTTCTCTATCCTTCTTTTTGTCTCACACGCTTCTTGGGATTTTGAGTTATGCTGTCAGTTATCAGTGAAGTTTGATAATGTGCTCTGTGATGTGTTGCTGTGCTCAGAGGTCATGAAGAGGGAACGTGCTACTCAGTCCTGGCTCTGTAGTAGTGCTGTGTTGGGGTGGATGTACACACGTTAAGCATGTCTGTGTGATTTGATTTGGGTTCATAGCGCTAGCGTGGTTGGCTTGCAGGGATTAGGCTTGTCCGTGGTGAGTGAGCTCATTGGCTGGACTGTGTGGGTGTTGGGTAATTCTGTGTTTTGGGAACGCATCATGGTTCCCTCTGAGAGGCAGCTGTCCAGCACTAGTTAAAGTTAAGTCATAAACCATGAGACTTCCTCAAATCTCTAAGCCTCTGGAAGCAGAACAGGTTACGTGGTTGTGTAAACTGAAGCTGCAAACTGACACATTTACAGTTTTCTGTTTTTGTTTTTTATCTGTACTGTGGTTAAGTTTCAGCTGGTTGCATGGTTACAGTCCCACATCTCCTTATAGGCCTGATTAGAAATGGAAATCTTAATGCTAGATCATGGTTCTTGTGAATAACATGCAAACCCCACCCTTTGGACCAAATGCTTGTACCACTAGGGGGCAGAATGAGGCATGAGTGTCCCGATGATTTCCCTACTCTTTAGTCGTGTTTATGTGTTTGTGTGTGTATTTGTGTTTTGTGTGCACTAGCTGTGGGATGCGGAGCCCCTTGTGGTAATTTTCTGCCTGATAGCTTCCTCATTGAGATCAATATCTGCGAGCAGGAAATGAGAACAATCTTTGGGCTCAGCTCTTTTCTGGGCTTTTTGGGTGGAGTGCAGTGCTACAACAGCCCACAGCCTGATGCACTGATAGCATGCACTCTCTCAAACATGCTTACTCACCCTCCTAATTATACCACCTTCCACACGTGACCACTGATTAGTGTCCATGTATTAAATCACTCTAAGCTGCACAGCTACAACAAAAAGTGATTTTGTCTGATGATGTGATTACAGAATAGATATGTTTCAGTACATAATGCTGAGAGGTAGGAGGGACAGTATAATGCTATAATGAAAATTGGTAAGGGCAGGAAAAAATCAATACAGTCAAAATATTTTGTTGAATTTAAAATGGTATTCATCATAGTAGTGAGATTTTATTGTTTAATTAAATGAATTACATAATAGAATTAAATTGTTAACTTGTTTGCTTTTATTCTCTTTTGTTTCTTCTGAAATCATGAGTTTTACTACATCACTTACTATTACTCACAGATGTTTGCAGTGAGTGGAGTACTCGTAGCACACTTTGCAGAAAATCACTGTTCACTGAAGCAATTTTTAATAGTGGGGTTTAATGTAGCAGTCACAGTGTTGCACTGTAGACAATAACTTGGGCCTTTAACAGTTAGCTAATTACAGAGGCCAAAATTGGAGTAATGATTAATATGCAATTAATTGTTCAGCCCCTGCATGCTCCGCATCACTCAAGCCAGCCATGCAGGCCCTGCTGAGAGCTGAGTTAGGCTACTTTTTCTTAATGATCTGGATTTTTTGGCCTGGTATGCTTAGTCACAGCTGCCAAGGTTCTCAGTATTTTTAACACACGCCAGTGCTGTTTCTTCTTCATTCCTTTATGTAAGTGGACATGGCTCTCTGACCGTCAGTGAGCACTTCACTCTGTGTTCAGACAGGGCTGATTCATTTCTCTGCTTGATATAGGGGGAAAGAGCAAAGATTTGCAGTCCATGATGTAGGGCACCTTGTCTATATTATGAGATATACGTCAGGCCTGAGGAGCTGTACTGCTGTGTTACTCCAGTTATCCATGTCCTTCCCTTCTGCGATGGCCTTCACAGTGCTAATGCTTCGCCCATCTATTGTTCCTAGATCCTGTTTATTTTTTCTCAATTTTACACCTCGCTCTGTCTCTCTCTCGCTCTTTCCCCTTGCCTGAATCTATGCCTTATTTATTTCATGGCACCGGGTAGTGCACTCTTACTGTCCCACAGTGAAAACGCTGCAAATAGAAGCAATATACGCTACTGTTCAAAAGGAATCACCATTTAAAAATTTTGAATCAGTGTTTTTGATAATATGAAACCAAAGTTATTGTAGATGGACATACACAAGGATTTCGATGTGCTTGTTTTGTGCAGTTTCACAGTTTTCAAATAATTAATACGAAACCAGAAGATATGGGTAAATTACATGTTTTGCTGATTTAGGAAAAAAGTGGCCTGTGCAAAACTTTTGGCACAGTTAATGTTTTATGTCTTTATTTTTCAAAGTATTAAACTCAGCAAATGGCAATTATGCAGTAAATTTTGTAGAAAAATTACATTTCTGTTCGATCTGTATAAAATGACAAAAAATATTAGTATGACATATTAGTATGATGAAGTGTTTTGAGCATTTGAACACTACTGGAACGTTGTCGTCACTGTGTCGTGATGGAATGTAAGTGTTCTTGTAGAGTGATGAGCAAATCCGTGTGATCTTACCTTCCCTATAATATAGGGATTTAATAGGCATGTACAGTTTTGAACCAAAGTAATAATTAGAGATGAGGCAGTGAGAAGGACCATTTCTACCTTATTAGCTCTGTTTAGGTGGTGGTAGCAGACTGTAGAGGCTTGTTTTTTTTTCTTAAATCTTTCACATCATCTTGTGCTGTACATGTCTTTCTCTGTTGTTTCAGCAGCAGAACAGTGCAGTTGATTGCAACAAAGGATCTGTGTGTGTTTGTCCCTCGTCTTGTCTGCCACACATTTACAGACATAATCATTAAACATAGCGTCATTAAGGGCTTGCATGGCTAATGTAACTTAGGTGCAAAACATACTGTTTTTACTGAGTGTTATCAACTGTCAGTTAAACCTACTAATGACTAGGGTAATTTTATCAAATGTTTTGTAGCTATGTTAAAATTAGTTATTTTGTTATATTTTGTCCAGTGAAGATTTGGATTCGTAATTTATATATATTTAAAACATCCATTTTAACATACTTAACACATGATTCAGTATGTTGAGTATTATATTTTGATAACTGAGTATATTAACTGAGTATGTTTTGAGAAGTGAATAAAGTAATGACATAAGAAAAAAATAGAAAAATGTAATCAAGGTTTGAGGATCTCTTTGTCTCTCCCAGTAGTTTCAGGATTATGTGAGGACTGTATTCTAGTGTGTGTGGGCATGCTTCCTCCAGCTGTCTGGTGTAAAGGCCAGTGGGCAGTGCCGTCTCTGCAGCATGGTGACCAGCTGCCCACAGCCCCGTCACTGACAGCAGTGCTGTCCCGAGAGGCTCAAGCATTTTAAAGTCTGGCTGAGGCTTAGGAAATATGAAAATGCCACAGTCATATAGGAGTGAGTTCATGTAGAGATGAGGGGAATTTGTGTATACTTTTTGAGGAAATGTGTGCTGTGAAATGCACAGGTTGGTGACAGTATATAGCAGTAAAAAAAGCCTAGATATGACCCAGCTCTGCAAAAGAGAGAGAGAAATGCTTTAGTCCTGCAAAAGAGAGAGAAAGAGTATTTGTAGAAGGAGAATAATACTGCTGAAATGGCATGCGAAGCTGAGGGAGGATATGCACAAGATGGCCACAGGAAATGACCTGGTCTGGGGGTAGTGTGTGGTGGTCAGGAAGCTGTACATCAGAGGTGCTAAAGGCCACAGCAAGCTTCTGACCTCTCCATTTTACGCTCTGTGAGAGAGCAGAGACGGATCCTTCTGTCTCTGAGTGACCTTACATTCACTGATCTCGCAGAGAATAATAGAGGATGACTTTAAAAGCCAGAGAGAGAGAGCGAGATGAGGGAGGACTTCCTAGTATTGTCCTTGACCCTACACATTCGTACAGGATGCAGTGTTTCTCTTCCCTTCCCTTCTCTCTCTCTCTCTCACTCTCTCTCTCTCATGTATACACTCATGTGAAAAAGTAAGTACACCCCATGAATGTTTGTTTTTTTGGGGTTTTTTTTTGACACATGGGCGTATGAGTATTTGATCATCAATTAAACAGTATGTATAGATAAATGGTATGTAATAGAACAAAAAACAGAAAATTTGACTTTGCAATCATTTATTCAAAAATAAATTAACTGATGTCTTTTTTTCTTTTGAAAAAGTGAGTACACCTCTGGCTTCAGTAACAGGTTTTGCTCTGGACAGAAATAACTTTATGTGGACATTTCCTATAACTTTCTGCCAGTTTCTGGCATCTACTGAGAGATTTTTCTCCTCACTCTTTCATGTGGAATTTCAGCTGTACAATGTTTTAGAGGTTTCTTGCATGTACAATCCAATTGTAATCGCCCCTCTAGGCATTTCAGTGGGATTCAGATGTGGGATCTGACTAAGCAATTCCACAAACCGTAGTTCCTTTCTTTTGAACCGTTCCTTGGTAGATTTACTTCTATGTTTGGGGTCATTATTCTCATAAAAGGTCAACTTCTTCAGCTTCACCTTTTTTTTTTACAGATGGCATCACATTCTCCTCAAGCACTTTCTGTCAAGAAAGAGGATTCACAGACAGTTCTATGATTATAAGTTGTCCAGGCCCTGAGGCAGCAAAGCAGCCCTAAACTGTAATGTCCACCACTGTGCTTTACAGTTAATATGAGGTTCTTCTGATCAAATGCTGTCTTTGGTTTTCACCAAACATGACTTCTGGTACTTGACTCACCTGTCCATAGCACATTCTTCCAGAAGTCCTAGCCCTTAAGTCTTAAATCTTGCCCTGATGTTCTTTTTAGAAAGCAAATTCTTCCTCCTGCAGCACCTCCCATTTAGGTCAAGTTTGTGCAGTCTCTTGCATGCACCTTTACATCAGCAGTGGCAGGAGCTACCTGCAGATCCTGTGATGAAAGTTTAGGGTTCTTAAAGACTTCTTTTAGCAACTTAGTCTGCTCTTGGGTATGGACATGTTTGCAGTGGTTTTAAACCTCCTCTTCTTGTAGATGATCCTTCGAACAGTGGAAGGATTGATTTCTAATGTTTTAGCAACACTTCTCAAACCCCTTCCCAGAGTCATAGGCATCTACAACCTTCAAACCACACATTTGTGTCCAAATATGCTTCTTTTTCTCCATCACTTCTGTGTTCTTTTTCTTTCTCTCTCCCTTTCTTTGTCTCTTTCTCTCTTGCTTTTTTCTTTCCTTTTTTCTCTTTCTTCTTTCTCCTTTTTTCTTTTTTCCTTGTTTCCTTCTTTTTGTCATTCTTTCTCTCTCTCTCCAGCCTGTTTGTAAAGTTGTGCGAGACTGTATTCTGTCCTGGTTGGGTGCAGAAGAGAGTTTTCCACTAGCAAAGTGTGAATGAAGTTCAGAATTAATTTTTCTGTCACTCAGCCAAGAAGTTCTGTTGTTCTGCCTGTTTATTTTCTCCTCTCTTCCTTGTTTCTCTTATTTACATCCTGAAAGTTATTGAGGAATTGGCCCAGACCATTGCCACAGACTTCTAATGCACCTCTTGTGATAGGTTCCTGCTGTGGCTTGTTGTTGTAGGGTGGCTGTTTGGGCCGCCAACTGGTTTTTAGTCATGCTGCCTCCAGTTTGATGTTCTTTTCTTTGTTTGTTTTGGCTGGTCTTAAAATTAAAACAATTGATGGCTCAGCTGTTGGTTCTACATGACACATGCATGAGTCTGGTCTTGTTCTTGTCAGAAGTCAGTGGAGGTAATGTTTGTTTAGGAATAGATAATGAACTGTGAATTTGTTATATAGTGATCACAGTTCCTTGAGAAAATGGTTAAAATTGACTTTCTTCATGAACCGGAAATGATTAGTGTGCAATTTGCTGATGGTGATGCCTTAATTTCCACTACTGGTTTGCTTTACAGTAGAAAACAGAGGCTATTTATATTCATGTGTTTTTTTTTAAAGGCTTATTAATTTATATTTTTCCAGGACAGTATTTTTATTTGAAGGGCTATACATGCTTTTTTGTTATGTCCACTGATTACACCATCAAGGTCAACCTGAAACCACAAACTGACATTTTGTACATTGTTATTTCATGTTACTGGTCATATTAAGCACGATTCATCATACTGTACCATTTTGTTGTTTTCCTGTAATTTTCCATCAAAATGTAATGACCACTTTCTGCCTTTAGAAACTCTTCTGAGTTTTGTTTACGTCACCATGCACCACCTGACCTCCCACTTACCTTCACCTATCATTGTGCGGAATGATCATGTAGTTTAAAGACACTCACTGATACCATGTTTCACTCGGAAGTACGTCACAGTGTTATGACTGATATATATTGTCTTTACTCATTACAATTATATGTGGATAAGTAGATTAGTTAATCACTAATGTAATCAATAATGTCATGTTCCTTTTTGATGTATTGACCTCTGTACCAGGACAGACATGTTGGCAAGCTGTAGTGGCATCCAGACCAGCAATCAGTTCACCTGAACGCAATGACAGATCTTAATGTCAGGATTTGATCACCCTGTTGAAGATCATTCTGCAGCAGTGACTCATTCTCTGTACTTTTTCTCTTGCTTTCGGACAGCGGCTGTCTACCTCTCACCCTGTCTGCTTCTCTGATGTTGTCCTCCTTTAGCCTTTTTTCATGAAACAGGCAGCTCTGGCAAAGACCCCTTGTCGCATCTTTCTTTTATGCATGCACTCCCCACCCTGAGGCTCCGTAGAAAAGCTTTTGTGGATAATTATTAGTAGTAGGTGGCAAATCGATGCAGTCTGCCTCTGCCTCTGCCAGCAAAGCTGCTTTTTATTTGAGTTTGTTTCATGGTGTCTGTCTCTCTCTGGCATTCTCCACAAGCGATCTCTCCTACTGCAGCATGACTCTGGATGTCCAGGAGGACAAACAAAATGACTCCATGTCTGAGTGTCGCTGGTGGTTTTTACATGGTTTCGCAATGACTGTGAGCTAACCACAGCAGGCCTTTGAGATTAGCTGAGTGGAGTGGCGCTTTCCGGTCTACATCTCCAGAGCTTATCAGAAGCCGGGAGTGCATCAAATGAAAAGTTTAGACTCCACACTTAATGTCATCTCTCTCTTTCTCTTTTGTTTCTTGTCAGGTCTGAGCACAGAGGGGATCTACAGAGTGAGTGGAAATAAGGCTGAGATGGAGAGCATGCAGCGGCAGTTTGATCAAGGTGAGGCATTCCACCATTACAAATACATACAATTTCACCCACTGGTGATGATAAACTCCCAGAATGAATGTATTCTTGACAGCCTATAATGGCTGTACACACATACAGATACTCTCATTTGATTTTTATTATTTGTCATTTCCTTAAAGGGCCTGTATTGTGGAAAGCTGAATAACTTTTTGAAATAATGGTTTTCTTTTCAGAGTTTCCATTAGCTGCTTAATGTTAATATATGACTGTTCAAAGGGTCTGCAAGGCTGCACAGTTAAAATCACCCGAAAATCCATATCAAATTGAAAGTCAATAAAATACTGTGGCAACATGTTCCCCTTAGTAGTTGACTCGAGTACTTGAGTAGTTGACTCGAGTAGCACGTTTCTATAACCTATATGTAACTCGAACGGTTTGCATTGTTGTCCATGTAATTCCTGAATAATAAGTCATAGTATGTAATAAGCCTGAGATTTGAAGGGTTTAAAATATAATTGAACACTTGAACACACTTTTTTGTTTCAACAAGACTGTAGAATGTGTATTTTAAGCTGTGCCACTTGGACACGAGTGCCTGAACGTGAGCGTGTTGACATGGATGCATTAAGTATGTGACTGAGAAGGCAGATGTAGTGCTGATGTCAGTTCGGTCCAGATACAGTGAAAATATCTTCTGACACGTCCTCCACTGAGGAGAAAATATCTTGTTAAAAATGACAAGTCCTTATCAGCCTCCGGTGAAATAGCAGTTAGGTTTAGTTTTAGCTCACAAATGAACTACTGATTCCTCTGCTTTTTTTGAAATAATGAAACTTTTTTTATTGTTTTAAGCCTCATAACACCACAGCTATCACCTAAAAGAGTGAGCCTCTGGCCATACTTTTGTTTTGGCTGAAGTACTTTTTTCTCTCAAATATCAAAATTAGTCAGACTGCACATCCCTATCTGTCCTGCTGGTCTGCTGCTGTTATACAAAGAACTTTTGAACTTTATCAGTTCTGATAAAACAGAAATGTGAGATTTATAAACTTAAATCTTTTTAGATTTATACTTAAATCTCAAGCTACCAACTTCAATTCGCAGAGGTTATGAAAATAAAATGTAATTACCAACTGTATGCCAACAATATATTTGATAGAAAACTATTTTTTGTTAGTGTTTTTTTTTTTTATTGTTTGTTTTTTTTTGGTTGTTGAACATGCAAAAAGTAAAGTTTGGACTAGCCTGTGATGATGCAGTTTTCTTACACAAACTAAAATGCAAACCAACCAGCAACCATGACCAGAATTTTACACGTTTCTCTGGCAAACTGAATCATTCCCAGGCACTGTGACTGGCAACAGAATGTACTAGTGGAAACTCTAAAACATTGTTCAATTTTTCAGCATTCACTTCCCAGTCCATACAGTCCATATATAAAAACAAATCTGCAGAAACAGCCCTATTTTGAATTCATTATAATGTACAACAAACAAATTTACATAGGACATTCTGTTCAGCCTTCAGCAGTGTAGCCACCCATTTAAATTAAAGTAATAAAGAGTGTCGTTACTGCATAGAGCTAGTAGCACAATTATAGAAGCAGAAGATTAAACAATGTGCTTTTCCTGGTAGTCAGGAAGCAAATGTACCATAGAGTAGTCTTTTGTTTCAAAGGTGGGGCTGAAGGCAAAGGAACAACAACCACCTCTTCATTTAACAGGGATTTATGGCTATTTTTGTGTATAAAACCACACAAATGTTACAAGTGGACATCAGGGGAAAAAATAAATACATAAGAAAAATATAAAAGATGTCCCTTTTAAAGATCACATGAAAAATGTAGAATATGGCCTAAAAGGTTAGGTTGACAAAACTGCTGACAAATACCTGCATCAGGGCTGTTTTCTTTCAGTACTGACTTTATAATATGGACGAATCATGTTTCTGTCAATAAAAGCATTGCACAGCTGATTTGCTTAATTAACCTGAAGTAATCCACAGCCATTGATTCTGGCTACAGACTATTTATGTTAGGATCATACGCATCATATGCACTAGTGAGCGTGTTTGTGAACGCAGTGTAAAGTGTGGGCATGCTTGTTTGTTTGTATCGGGTTGATTCTGCCCTTGCATCAGTATACACGCTCGCTGTGTGCATTGGCTCATTGTCAGCATCCACTCGTCTGTACGCTTTAGAGAGAGAAAGAGGAGGTCAGTTAATTACCTGTGGATTGGTTTAGGTAATGAAGCGCGTGCACACACACGCTCTGCTGCTCTTCTAGGTTCTGTCAGGGTCCGGTCCGGTCCGGCATAAGCTAATAGGAGGTGAAGGCTGGTGTCCGATCGATCAAACCCTCGCACGGCCTGGTGGAAATACAATTATCAATACAATTACTGCCGAAACCGCTGCACAGGTGACCACTGAACAGCAGCCCCTCTGTCCGTGCAGACCACTCAACCATGAACACACTGATCCACAGTCAGTGCCGGCCATGTAACCTGCTCTGAACTCATGCTGTGCTGTCATGTATGGCAGATGTTTATATGGAAAAGTTTATTCACTGCCAGAACTAAATATGCTGGACACACAGATCTATTACTTAACTAGGGGTCAGTTGGACTTTTAACCCTTGCTCTGCATTCACACCAGATATGACACATCAGCATCACGCTGACATATCGGAAGTGAAACATATGAGACCATGGGTCCATTAGGGATGCACCAATATCTGAGCAATACTAGTACTGACCTTGTTTAACACAGTCCTGATATGTGCAAAGTTCTACCCTTACATATGTAGTTCATTTATTATATATAATTAGTATTTAGTATTATATTATTAGTTATAAGAACCATATTTAACTTTTGACTTTCAGATGTAAAACTGCATTCAGCACCACAGTGGGCTTTACATATGTGCTCCCTTTTCTAATTAGGGTTAGAAAGCAATATTGACACCTGCTTCTGTATTGTTAATTTCTGTTTTTACCATTTCGCCCAATAAAAATATTTTAGATTTACTTCAGTTGTTAAAGATGGTTCTTATTAAAAGTGAAGGGACATCCAGAATAATATGCCATTGTTAATGTTGTAATGTATAAAAAAACAGTTATGTAAGCATCCAAAATGATTTTATTTGAAAAAATAAAAAATAATATACTATACTGAGATATGTACCAAAACCGTCAGTAATCTTAATAATCCTGCAATAGAAATTTTTGCCTAATTACTAAACTGAAGTAAATGCAGAATATTTTTACTGTGTGAAACAAGTGATCAGTAGATGAATAAACCTGTGGTCTGAACTTATAAACATGCAGCAGCTTTTCTCATTTTCAAACACTTTTACAACATAGTAAAGGTTTTATTATTATTTTTTTTTTATTATAAAAAAGCCCAATTTAGTCATGGCCAAGTCCCACCCACTAGCTAGATCTTACCCTACATCACAGTTCTACCAAGGAAGGTGAGGGCTAGCACACATTTCCTCAGTGTCACATAAAGCTCTGTGGCATCTTTGCAAAATGCCACAAACGCATCATTGGACTGCTCAACCAGTGTTCACCACTGTCTAGTGCAGCTGGTGTAAACTGAAACATTAATTAAGATAAAGCATATCTGTTCCATCAAATAGACAAAGTTGAGAAACATTTTCAGTGCTGTTGCTGCTGTTTTTCTTTATTATTAATGCAGTAATATACGAGAAGGAGTATCGTACGTGAGATATTGGCACTGGTGTGCTTCAGCCATAGGCACAAGGCCAAAGTTCACAACTATGCCACTCATTATACTGCTGATTATACTAGTCATTCATTTTCCTATTCATTTTTATATTAGAACACATTTAAAAGCAATATCAGTAGCTCACAGCACATTAAAAACATACAGCTACTGACAGAAATGTCCAGCAGACTAGCAGTGTCCTTATAAATATTAGCTGAAGAGTTTTGTGCTTTCAACAGATTTTTTTTTTTCAGAATTTTCCAATTTTCTTTCAGTGCGAATGAACTAAACAAAAAATCAGTAGACTTTTTGTGGCGTGTTTACAGTGTCAGACCTAGGAGCGTTGAAACATTGTCATAAAAACAAATATATCTTAAGCCTCCTCCACCCAGCCAGTGCTTTTGATCACCTGTCTGCTCTCTTCTGCCTCTGTCCCTGTCTTACCACCTCTCTCATTCTCTCTGAAAGACGCAAAAAAGCCTAATCAGAAGAGAGCTTTTTAATTAAGTTCAGCTTTTTCCCTCTGCAGCAGGCACCCTCATCCCATCTCCTCTCTCTCTCGTCTGCAGGGTTTAAAGTGTGTTCTTGCAGAACAGGCAGACCCTGTGATTACACTTGCTTTATAGTTTTAATCAGCTCGCTTTAGTTTGTTTCCGGCCCCCCATAACCTTTCTCCCCCTGTCTCTCCCGTGTCTCATACAAGGCACACTCACCTCACTCGGTGCGCAAGTGCTCCAATTAAGCACATATTTCACTGGATTTGAGGGTGAATTAATGATGCACAGAGACAGCAGCTCAATACGACATTGTATCGGACAGGTTTGACGCAGAAAGTGTGCAGTAATGGTTTGTCAGCCAGTGGGTAGGTTCTAAAATTTGAAGGCTGACTTTCACGTAGATCTGAGCTGCGCAATACATACAAAATATCACATTGCGATTCTGTTGCTAAATATTTCCATCGTGATCTGCCTTGAAGTATATTAAAATACAATTATTAAGCCTTGATGTCATGCAGTTAAAGACGGGCCTACATTATTTTGAACAAAATAATTTCCATTTATTTTTTCTTTTACATTTGCAGAGAATATTTGTGATTTGGTCAGGATGTTCACAGCATGCAATAAACAGATTTGAATTGTTAGAGGGTTATTTGTATTTTGTAGTCTTTAGCAGGCAGCGTTTTAACTCTGGAATTAACGGTAAACAAGCGATATATTGTGCAACCCTAATGTACATGCTTAGTGAAAGGTCTATTACTTTTGGTAATAGCAGAACCACTTCAAAATGTTCTTTAATTAAGCAACAGAACACAAGGGAATGGATTATCATGAGTAATACATGACCTCAGGGTTTTATGCAACAGTTCTACAAAATAAAAAAGAAGAGCAAAAAAATCCCTTAACATTGTATCTGCTTTAAAATTTTCAGTTCTTCCGTCATATATGTAGTAGCCTTTTGCCTAAAACTGTCATACTATCAGGTTCAGCCCAGCTATTTTAGAACTCTTCTTGATTGCTGAATTGTCTTCTACTTGTTTCTGTTAATTCCAGTTTTAGTTGTTCTTTAGTTTTAGCTGCAGACTACAAAGCTTGCTTAGAGGTAATGACAGGCTTGGAATTCAATGTAGGCCTGCTGTCACACTCTTCTTTAGAATCTGAGCATATATTCGGTCAGGGTCTTATTAAAGTGTCTGTTTCTGTATTTGTGTGTGCTAAAATAGAAATTTAGTTGTGGTTAGTTGCAGCATTAAACAAGTAGACACTTAGCAATCGATGCTCAACAGAATGATGCAGTCATTGAGGGGAAAACGTGTCATCATTTGTGATAGAACACTGTGGTAGAGCACTTCTTAACCAATCAGATTTTGTCGTTGGAACTAACTGTATAAAGAACCACATGCAGCAGTTTCTTTTTTATTGGAGAAGGACTGTTAAACCATGTAAAGGACGATTTAACCATTCACATGGACCATTGAGGTGTCAGTGCCTTTACTAAAGAACTCTTGAAGAAACGCTTTTTAAGATTTAAGTGACTGCGTTTTGCCTCAAAAGTTTGTCTTTACTTTCCATGAAAAGCTGCTGTTACACTGTTTTAATGATGTATAACCACGTTGATTGGAATACAGTAAGCTTGGCACCAGAAAGTACTTGATGTTTTATTTAATGTTTCAAATTTATTCAGAGCAGCAACAAGGTATTAATGATTAATTGAATCATCTGTTTTCAGTCATTACCACAGGATTTAATCACTACTTTTCAAATGAAAGGCATTCTCTGGATGTTCGTTTTATTATTATTTCATTCTTACTGTTATACAGGCTTCTCAGTCGTTACAGAATCATCTACAGGTCTGTTCATCATTCTGGTCTAATATTTTTTTCAGCTTCCGTCAAATTAGTTGAAAACTAAAGTTGTAGAGTTGTAGCATTTCAACAGAATCCTTTTAAACATGTACCTGCAACAAAATTGGTTTTATTTTACTGCAAACAGGGATTCCAGACTTTTGAACACTTTTTAACAATATTCATGTCTTTATTTCTTTCTGTTAGATCCCAGCCTGGACCTGGTGGAAAAGGACATGTCTGTGAACACGGTAGCAGGAGCCATGAAGAGTTTCTTTTCCGAGTTGCCTGAACCCCTGGTGCCGTACAACATGCAGGTGGAGCTGGTGGAAGCCTTCAGTAAGTGACTGTTTTCAGAACAAGCTGATGAGAAACTTTTTTTGCAAATTCAAAACTTTATTGGGTAAAAGTGCTCTATATTACCTCACTGAAAATGCTGTATATGAAATATGAATGGAAAAGGCTTCAGCTGGAGAAGAATATCTGCAGTTGCCTCCACTCACAAAGCGCCCGCTCTATATTCACGCAGCGTGAAATGCTGCGTGTTTGGCTCTGGGCATCCATCCAAGCTGAGGATGCGCCAACAATGAGAGTGAAACTGCAGCTTATGCCTGTAGTTAGTCTGCTACTCAGGAGTGTGATTCGGCATACTACTGAAAACCCTTTTAGGTGCTCCAGTTCTTTGGAGAAACACTTTAGCGCACCGAATGCAAGTGTGTCTGCCAAGTGGAAGATTGAATGCGGAGTCCAACCAGTGTGACAGCACTTAAATTTTGACTTGGAATGCTCCTAGATTGGTAGAAATGTGCAAATATATGCTAACACAATATGAGCCAATGGATCTGACATAATAAATGCAAGTGTTCAGCTTTCTTACACTGTTATTATGGCAGTGTTTCAAATTTAGTACTGAGAAATATGTGCTTGTCAAACATAGAGCACTCTTAAGGAAGAAAATCTTGCATAAAATGACTGAAATGTGGCTCTGCAAATACTGCAATAACAAAAATGATGTGTTTGAGATGGGAATAATAAAAAAAAAGGCCAAGCCGGATGGATGGCAGAGGGGAATGGACAGACGGACGATCACCTGACTGCAGAGTCACTCCCTGCAGGTGGTGGGTGGAGCTCCAGCCTGGCCCGTCTGTCACTGGACGTCATGGCAACAGCTCCTGCGCTGTTTCTGCTGTTATCAGTGCAGATCTCCAAAGCACCTGCATTGCGCTGGCATTTATTCAATATTCTTTGGCCATGGCTAATGGATTTGTTATCCGTGGGACTTCAAAAAAATTGGGTGTCTGACATATTAAGATGAACTGAGATGAATTGGCTTCGTTTTCGATGCAGCAGAAGTTACAGCAAGAGCATCTATTTTGATCTGATTTCGATTGATTCTAGGCTGTTAGTGTCTTTGGAGATGAAATCACAGCATGGTCTCACTTTAGAGGGTATTTTTGTGTATGTTACTACATTGAATTGTGCACTAGTGGGTGTGTGACAGAGTGTGAGCTGTGCTGGAATGCTGACATCAGTGTGTGTGTGTGCGCGTGTGCGCACGTCTATGTGTGTAAGATGCTGACATCAGTGTGTGCGAGTGAGACTCTGGAGGAACACATCTGCCATAGTGGTCACGTGTCCTGATAGAGGGCTCGCTGTGTTAGAGGGCTGATGTAAGCCGTTCTGACTCACTGCGGCCATCGTTCCTGCAGCACCCAGGGGACGTGTGTGTGTGTATGTATGCGTCTCTGTAAGTGTGTGTGTTTCTGTGTGTGTGTACGTACTGTTTTGCCCTTGCCTCATCCAGCAAACATCCCTCAATCTCCCCTGATGACTCTGACAGGAAGTGTTGTGCTATAAGTTCTAGAAGGATCCACCTCTTTTCACTGCTGCAGCTGAAAATGTAGTCTTGATCTTTGATTTGGATGTGTATTGGCTCTGCACGTAAAACTCCTAAATGACCTCCTCAATAAATTCCTTTAACACATGATCCAAATACAGTTGAGTCACAGTGCGGGTGGTCAATATGACGAAATGTCATTGTGATAAATTACGATACGCTTTTCTGCATTTCACCCTGATGAAGCAAACACCATTAGAACCAATAAAACCTCATGGTTTTAATCACTAATGGTAATTGACTTAATGGTTAACATTGGAGACAGCTAGTCTTCATTAGACCACCATTAGATCCCATCAGAAAACCCATCAAATGCATCTGGAATCAGTCACAGCTCAGCTGTAAACCATTAGGATCCTTTACATTGTGATATTAACCCATCAGGAAAACACAAGATGCACTGTGAACCCAGCAGAACATAGTTTCCTTTACTTCCTGTCCTATAGGAATCAGCTAAGTCAATAAGCTAGCATGCTGTAAAAATACATTTGAATAAACACACCTGAACTTTGCTTTGCCTAAATAGTCCCCCCCAAGTAGCTAACATTTGATAGCCAATAATGTGAACTTCATAGCATTTCACATTATTTTATACTTAGCAGCACGTGGTGAGCAAAAAAGCACTTAATGAAGCAATGCTTATAAATGTTTTTCAGTCTATGACATTCATGTACATTATATGGCCAAAAGTATGTGGATATCTTGACTGTCACACCTATTTGAGCTTGTTGGACATCACATTCCACAACCATTGTCATGAATACAGAGTTGAACCGCATTTGCAGCTGCAGCAGCCTCCCCTCTTCTGGAAAGGCTTTCCACAAGATTTTTGGAATGTGTATTTGGCAATTTGTGTCCATTCAGTCAAAAAAGCATTTGTGAGATTAGGCACTGATTTTTGGATGAGAAGGCCTGGCTTGCAATTGATATACCATCCTGAAAGTGTTTAATGAGGTTGAGGTCAGGCTTCTGTGCAGGTCACTAGCATTCCTCTACACCAAACTCAAACCATATCTTTATAGACCTTATTTGTGCACAGGTGCACAGTTATGGAAACAGTGAAGGCTCTTCCCCAAACTGTTGCTACAAAGTTACAAGCATACATTTAAAGTCACTGAGCTGTTTGGTATGACCCATTCTACTGCCTTTCTTTGTCTGTGGAGATTGCATGGCTATGTGCTTAATTTTACACACCTGCTAGCAGTGGGTGTGTCTGAAACACCTGAACTCAATAATAAGGAGAGGTGTCCACATACTTTTGGGTACAGTGTTGGTAACAACACTTCATCCAACAACATTTCTTCCAATAGATCCATGTCTCTGGCAGATGGACCAGCCTGGCAAGGGGGTCCACCATGGTCACCACACCATTGTCCAGCACAGTTTGGTGACTTCCTGCTCAAACACACCTGATTCAAATCATGTGTTAATTTCATGGTTTAATATTGTGTTTGAGCAGCGAAGTGACCAAACTGCTGGTCCTCCTTGACCAGACTTGAAGAGCCCTGCTTAAAGGGTTAAAGTAAACATTCACAAACTCCAAGATCTTGTGTCTCATGCTGTTTTCTGTTTGTCTGCTTCTGTCTGCCTGCTCTCCTCTCTCTCCTCACCTCTTCTGTTGCTCTTGTCATTATGCGTCATGCTGTGCCCTTCTGTGTGTCTGCGTTTGGACGTGTCTCTGAGTGTGCGTCTCTCTATCTGAATGTCTCTGGCTGGACGTGTGTGTCTGTTGGTGCATCACTGTGTGTGTGTGTGTCTAACTCTGTCCTGTGTCTTCTGCAGAGATCAATGATCGAGAGCAGCGTCTCCACACAATGAAGGACGTGCTGCGCAGGTTCCCCCGAGAAAACTACGACGTCTTCAAATACGTCATCAGCCACCTGAACAAGTGAGAGCTGTGCCTTCACTGCACTTAAGCTGCAAGAGCACAAACACACACGCATAGACATGCATTCAAAACAACAGCCCACCTCATACACCCACCTGATAAACAGCAAACACAACCCCAACGCGCTTACTCTCTCAGTCACTCTCTGTCACACCAAGGCACTCACTATACATATTGCTCTGCTGGACATGACTGGTCAAAGTCAAGCTAATCACAGTTATTTTTTTCAGAAATTTCAGAATTTCAGAAATGATTTCTGATTAGATATAACTTAATAGGCTTATGAGATTGTGTGCAATATGACATCTAGCCACCAATTGACAGTAATATCATGAGAGTGGCAGGACAGCAAGGAAAAAATAAATGAATAAACAAACATACATAGCAGTTATCTAATTAAGGACAGCAAGTAGTGTAATAATGCCACAAAGGAAGCTTTCTTAAAGTTGGGAAAATGAACATGCTTGTGTGTCTGGTCAGAAGCTTGATAACTTACTAAGCTAACTTTCTTTTGCACTTTTACAGTCTATAAAATGCTTCTCATAAAAATGGATAAAGCTTACTGTGTTAAGTTAGCCTACATGCTGTTAATAGTCTAAGCTATGTGCCTTTTTAATTTTAAAATTTTTAACAACTTTAAATAGTTTATTCATTTGACATGGCCTCAACAGTAGTATTGGAACGGCATCATTTATTATAACAATTATGCTTAAGCACCAGGTGCACTGTGTTTAGTGTTTATAGCGAAACACTAATTTACAACACCTATCCACAGAAGGCTTTTAAAAGTCAAAACAATTTAAAAAAATAAATAAGTGAAAATGGCACATCAGTCAGTTAAGTTAATGTTCATGATTAGCAATGCAAAAATTTCCATTTAATTCAAGTAATTCCACAGTCCTGAAAAAAACAAAAGTGTTGCCTTGTGCTGCTCTAGAGTGTTCTAAAGCCAGACAACATATCAGGACTGATATATGACATGGACTAAACAGTGCCTAATCCTGGTCCTGGAGATCTACAACCCTGCAGAGTTTAGCTCCAATTCTAATCTAACTCCAGGTATTGAAGGCCTTCAGAAGCGTCTGAACATTAGAGCCAGGTGTGTATCTGGTAGATCTTCAGCACCAGGATTGGGCAGCCCAGGACTACAGATTAAAAGAAAACACGGATAATGAGACACATATTGTTGCACATCTAAAGCCTTTTGGTGTCTGATTTGCAATATTTAAATCTATGTTGCATGAGTTACTATTGGATATAAAATAACAAAATTTATATGACAAAGCAACAAACTTTTGAACAGCAGTGTGTGTGTGTGTTAATGAATCTGGCTATTTATCGTGTGATTGTTCATGATCTGGCTGTGTCTATCCCATTCTGTCTTTCTCAGGGTGAGCCAAAACAGTCGTGTGAACCTGATGACGAGCGATAATCTGTCCATCTGCTTCTGGCCCACACTGATGCGGCCCGACTTCACCACAATGGACGCTCTGACAGCCACGCGCACCTACCAGACAATCATAGAGACCTTCATCCACCAGTGTGCTTTCTTCTTCTACAATCAGCCGCTGGCCGATACGCCCAGTGGCCTGTCTGGCCTGCCGGGATCACCCACCGCCACCTTGAGCTCCGCTTCCTCCATAAGCAGCTCTGCTTACACCTCCTGCTATGCTCCGGCCCAGCCAGTGGCCTCGCCCTTCAGCCCGGTGCAGCAGTCCCCACCCCATTCTCCACCCCCTACCCCACAGTCACCCATCCAGAGTTTGCTTCCACCTCTGCATCCGCACCACACGCCTACGGAACAACACACGCTGTGAACCAGAGAGAGAGAGGTAGAGGAAAAGAAAAAGAAAGAGAAGCTTGGAAATCGAGATTGAGTTGTGGAAGTAGAGTCAAGAGAGATTACCTGAATGGATAGAGATTGGGTTTTTTCGGGGGGGATTTGAGAGAAAATAAAAAAGAATGAGATTGAGGAAATGTGCCTGATTTGTAGTGGCTACAGGCGAAAGAGAATGGAGAGAGGGGAGAGTGAGAGCATTAGAAAGAGCGAAGAAGGTCAAGCCACTTCAGCTGTGAGCCACTCCAGCTACACTTCATCTCTCTCCTTTATAGATCACTGCACTCATCTATTCTCTGCTCTTTTGCATTAGAATAAAAAGATGTTCACATATTCTCCCCTGCACATACACATACACACACATGCATCTTTATTGAGACAATGCAGGGTCAGTGGGGTTTATTGGCTGTAGCCCTTGGAGCCTGACTTTACCTGAGAGGTAACCGAGGAGAAAAGTGGCTTGTAGAGGTGGGGCTTATGGACTTAAAGACAGAAAACTGAACTAAACTCACCCCACAGTCCATTGACTCCTCTGCGTTACCCTTACCCTGTCACTACCAATAGGAATGAGGTTAAGTGTGGCAAGAAGCCATCCTTAGCATTCTCAAGATTCTTTGTTTTGTAGCTTTCAACCACTATTATCACTTTTTTTGTAAAGATAAAAAAGGACTAGAAGTTCTAGCTCTCGATACGGCGCCTCTCTCAGCCACATTCCTATTCCTCCCTCGTGCTGTTTGACTCACAGCGACCATTTAAAGAAGAACACAAAAAACAGCCCTTGACAAACCTGACAGACTAGATCTGGTTTCGTTGGGAGTGGAACATACAGTAAACTTTGGTACTCTCTCTTTTTTTTTTTTTGGCACAGCATTCTGGGATTTGAAGTCTTCTGGACGTCTCTGCTTGTCTCTCCTTGCCCTTGTAATGAGCCAGAGTCTCCAGACCACGGTAGACTTTTTCCTTTTTCTCTGGAGGAAAAGAGAATGTCTTAATTGACCCTCCTTTCCTTTTCTTCCAACCTTTTCTCCTCTTCCCTCTTCTTTTTTTTCCTCCCCAATGGATTAAGTGTCAGTAAACATGGGAACCATTTTGTTTCTTTCTTTATGGTGAAGTCTCCACCCTCACAGCTCCACATAGCTCCATGGCCAGGTTTGAGTGCTTCCTGTCCTGTGGGGAGTGAGCAGGGATTACTGGCACAGGTCGGACCAGTGAATGTGCTCCTGCGGAGTATTAAAAGCTCTGCTGTTTTAGTGTACGTATTGGTCAAGGTTCGGTTGTGCTTCACTTAATGATAGATCTCAGCAAGGTTCCTCTTTAGAAAAGAGATAATATACTAAATTACCTTCTGGTGTGAAGTCTGTAGTGAATTGGAACCTTAACGTATGTGTGGGTGGGTGCGTCTTGCGTTCATATGTGGGTCTGCCTGAATGCTGAATGTACACTTTATACTTGTGAAATATCACTGAGATTTTGGCAGCTTTGAAGATGGCTTGATGGAATGTTTGGAGGTATTTCATCGCTGTTATATTAAAACCTTGTAAAACTCTCTTTTTTCCCATTTTTATGTTTTTACACTATTTGAAAACACCAGCTACCCTTTACATTTTGTGAACATATAATGATGAATATCCCAACAGAAGTAGTCCAGAATTATTTGGAATAAAATCGTATTACATTAATGTACATTAAAGTAAGGAACATTGGGCTTCATTCACCAATATCTTCATAAGTTTTTTCTTAAATTTGTTCGAGAAATGTCCTAAGAAAAAGTCTACGTCAGATTCATAACGTGTGTAGATTCTGTTCTTACCCAATAACAAACCCCAAATAAGAAAACAATGGTGAAAATGGTGAAATGAGTTTTAAGAAGAAATTTTTTAAGAATGGTTGGTGAAAGAGGCCCAGTTTTCCTTCTCTCATAAAGTTACTATTTTGGAGATGTGACACACTGTAGTTCTTTGTTTTAACAATGAAACAATGACCTTTCTATCTAAAAGGGCCGAACTCTGTACTATTCTTCCAAAGCAAGAATGTAATAGAGACTGAGAAGAAAAAGAGACATGAGAAACTCAGTGCGGAAACCTATGTAGATCTGCCCTCATAGTATGGCTTTCAGTGGGCCTTTATCCTTTTGCTCATTCGAAGGGCACATTACTGCCACCTGCTGTACCAACAAGATACTGCACCTCAGAATTCAGTGTACTTCACATGCATAGTCTTTTGGAGTTTTTCCCCCCTCCCTTCAAAGAAGTGCTGAATGCACATCCAATCATGAGTCTTATTCACAGAGCTTGACAAAAGAGAAATATGATAGTGAATTCAATAGCCGGTAGACACTCAACGATGTCCTGAAGAGACTGCATCCTCACTGGCCCCTCTCAGCACTTCATATTGTATTTTATCTTCTCAGGTTGCAGCCACAAAAGGAGATAATGGCTTCATTATTGTTGTGACTTCAATATTGTTTTTGTTGTCTCGTCACTAAAAAATCATGATGCTGATGTCCTCGGAAATGGCTGTTTTGGCATTGAACAGAGTTTTTAAGCTTATTTTAGGACTTTAAGGCTAGAGACAAAGCAACTTTTCTTATGGTGCATATCTTAGATGGATCTCCCCACCAGTGAGTGAAGCACAACTGAACTGCCCTGCCTTTGCCCTGCTAATCATCTTAATATTCCTGCCCCCAGTTCAGTATTTTCAGGATATTCCTTCCTTTACAATCTTTCTTACATCCTAGATGTTTCAATTTTGTCCTTTCAGTTTAAATGGTATATTTTGGGAAAACAGGGAGAAGACAGCGCCCTCCTGGTACTTTTGCAGTTGATTGCTGGCTTGCTGCATTCTCTGTGTAAATCATAGTCAATTCTGAGCTGATCCTTAGCAGCCAAAGACTGTGTGAAATAAAAAAGGGTGTCTGACCGAGGAGGAATAGCAACAAATGGGAATTAATTAAAATGTGACGTTGTTTCAGCAATCTTACGTGGCTGCGTTACTTTATTTTTGTTGTATTGTTTTGTTTTCCTTTTGCAACAATGGTGACAGATTGTCTGTTAAGTTAAATGAGACGCAAGCGGAACTATATTCAAAATGGTTGTTTATTTGTATGTTAGGGGGTCTAACACTTTGCCCTATAGTTAATGGTGATAGAAAAAAGTTTCCTTTTTATGTTTTATTTTAATAATTAAAAAAAAGACAAATGTTTTTTAACAATTTTGTGAATGGTGTAAAGGCCATATGATGTAGTGCATGATTCAACCCCAAGTCCGGGCCTTCCGCTCTCCATATTTAAGAAAAAAAAGAAAAAAAAACATGAACATAAATGAACAAGAAAAAAAAATAAAACGAGAAAAAAATAATGAAGTAAACTGAAAAGATACATCAACAAAATAAAAAAAAGTCATTATTTGCTAAGAGTATGGTCATTTGTCTCAATGGGAATGGTGTACAAACAGTAAGGCCTTACGTGACCTGTATTATAGTTAATAAATCAATCTTGTAATATGTGTCCTGTCTCATGTTTTTGTAGGTGGGGTTTCATATCACAAAAGCACCGAATCTGCTTCAGTATTTAGATTTAATGCTGAAAAGCTTCATTTGTAGATTGTCAGCTCCAGAATGTAGCTGCCAATACTTGGGTATTTTGTGCTGTCTTTCAGTTGTGATCTGCTTGTTGCATTTCTCAATATTCTTAATGTGTTTATGATACACTTGTCAAAACAATTGCTTTATTTTTCAACAGTTCTTCACAAAGCTCATTTGCATATCCTCTGTTTCAAATCAGTGCCTCATTCAGTAATTTGTAGTACATTCATCGCTGTGGAGTGAATGCCAGTTTAATTTTTAAATAAAGCTGCATTTTTTTCCTACTTGGCCCCAAAAGTACAAACTTTTTAAAGTGGTTATTTTACTTAGAAGCTAGAAGTTAGAAGCATTCACCTTCTGCAGAAGCTTGTTTGATATGCAGGTTGCATCACAGAATAAATGTTAGCATGAACTATGTAAATTTTCTGTTTTTAGTTGAGCTCTAAGGAACTATTATGCATTCCCAGTACATGAGCACATATATAGCACGTAATGAATTCAGTACAGTATCAAACAATATTGCAGAGACATCTGTCAACCTCTCATAAACTGTCTTTTGTGGAAACCACAGTCAGTGACAAAACTGGGTCAAACAGCTGAGTGGATGCTATCAATTTTTGCATTGTTTGAAGTGCAGTTGCATACTAGTAAATAATTACAGCTCTGTAGAATCAAAACATTAAAAAACAAAACATCACAAATCAATTGGATTCACAACTTCAAAATCTAAAATCATATCATGCCTGAAAATGTGTATTCTTACATCCGTAATAGTATTGTCCCACACTTCTGTTCATCAGCTGTTTATTTTAGCCTTTGGAGCAGGGTATCACTCGAAACTGTGCCACAGGCCCTCCATGACTTGCAAAGCAGGGCATTGATCTATGTGCTCACATTACACAAGGCCAAAAAAAAAACCTATTTGGTACTAATACTGGCCCTGCTGGGTAGATTATAGACAATACAATTGCACAAATCCTGACCAGAGGCTTCTGGTCTTTGGGAGGGCGACAGATTATGTACCCTCCCGTGACCTTTTCATTGAGAGAATCACTTTGATGGTCAGAGAATCAGCTGGCATGGCCTTGGTCTTGTCTTCTCTGATTTATGAAAAAGAGGCTTTACACGGGCTGAAAAGGGCAGCCATGTGCGCACAGAACAGCTGAATTTTAATCTCTCCGTCATCGTGGTTTCTAGAGTCTGCATATGATTTGATAGCTCTTTGCTGTAGAGGATTTCTGTCATGTGCATGTGAAAATAGACTGTACGGTGTAGGCTGCGGAAAGGAGAGGAGAACCCATTTTTCTCTTGCATGTTACAACAGAATGAGGGCAGTGCAACTGGCTTAGTAGTTTCTGGCTTAAAAGTTTGTTTGTGGGTAGAAATTAGATTTGCTCTGGCAAGGAGATGAGTTTACA